CACAACTCAATATGGAATGAATGCACATGAAAACTCAACTAAAACCTAATTCCATCATGGGTAATCCGGAGTGTCGGTGACTGGGAATTGAGACACGTTCCGTCGCTCGAAGTACGAAACGCCCCTTGTTTCCCGTGCTCGGGCTAACTCCTATCCCAAGCACAATGCAATATGCATGATATGCATGAATGCAACTAAGATACAACCTAACATGCACAATGCTACGGAATGGCATACACGATGCACGAGAAAACATGGCATACACAATGCGCTAACATACAACCTAGCATACACAATGCTGTGAATCGAAATGACATACACAATGCATAATGGACTTACACCAACACAAGTGGACCTCAGCCACACTCACATAAGAGGCTATGCGATGAAAATGAGACAACTCGAGATGCGCGCACGCATGCACGCAAATCGAGGACCGATCCTAAGGCATGAAATATGATATGCAAACATGCAAGTTTCAGCAGCAAAACATGACGCAAAACAGCCCCGAATCATAGGAATATGGCACCCGATGCATGAAATGATCCCGAAATGCAAGATTAAGCACATGAAATGACTTGTAGCTACATCAAGCATGCATTATTTGATCATAACATGTGAATACAGAATCAAGGCAGCCCCAAAAAAAGCATGTTTACATTTTGAAGCAAGGCCAAACAGCAAACACAAATAGGACAAAACTAGCATGCAAAAATAGCCCTAAATGTGAGATAAAGAAGTGAGTCACAGCTGCAGACCTCAAACAGATGAGGGCCCTTCAACAATGTTGAAGAGGGGCCCAAAATATAATATTTTACAGTTTGCAACAAACCCCAAAAACCAACACAGGTATGGCTAAGCTCTTATGCAAGAAATGGGCCAAAATGAGGGACAAAGAAGCAGGTGGTGGTTGCTGGCCTCAAACACAAAGGGGCCCTTCAACAATGTTGAAGAAGGGCCCAAAATATTTCACTTTACAGTTGATGGCCGGACCCAAAACAGTATGCAAGAATGCTCAAAATGCTATGCAAAATAGGGCCAAAAAGAGAGATATAATACAAAGTATACAAAGGATGCCTCAAACAATGAAAAACCCTTAATGAAACATGAAGAGGGGGTCAAAATAAAGTCACTTATAGTTCGGACCAGAACCCAAAAACAGAAGAATAAGAGGCTAACAAATCATGCAAAAATGGAGCCAAATGAGAGATATAAAGGCAACTGATAAATGAAAGTCTCAAAAAGCAATGAGCCCTTCAACAATGTTGAAGAAGGGCTCAAAATAAGCTACTTTTCAGTTCATGACATAGCTCAAAACAGTTTATACATAGGCCAAAAATACTACACAAGAAGATGGCATACAAGGGAGATAATGAAGCAAGTGCAACAAGGAGACCTCAAACAGGTAAATACCCTTAAACAAATATGAAAAATAGCTCAAAATAAGCCTAGTTCCAGTTAAGGTCGGGGCCCAAAACAGCAAGAAAATATGACTTAGAAAGCATGCAAAATATGAACAAAAAAGAGGGAAATGGAACTTACCCTTGTAGACCAAACTTTAGGCAACTCTTGGCTTGAGTTTGGTGGCTCTTTAGCTCTGAAAAACAACTTCTAGCTGCTGGAATGGAAGATGGGGATGTGGTGCTAGGTGGTGGTGTAGAGAAGGGTATTGGACTTGAGAGGTTTTGAGCTTAGGAGTATGGAGAAAGAGAGATACAAAGCAAGAGCTTATGGGGGATTTTTGGTAACCCTGATAACAGAGCTGGAGCCCCTGTTATATAGACAAAAAGGGGGGGGAAAAGGGGGGAAAAATGGAGGGAAAACAAACAAGTTTCCCCCCAAAAATGCACCTCCCGGGATACACAATCTGGGGGGAAAACAGATACACAGCTGTACTGTACTTGATGCAAGGAGCATGGCCGGCTGCTTATCTAGGTTGCAGGTGGCCGGCCGGCTACTTCCCATGGCCGGTTGGCCAAGGGTCAAAAGGTTCAATGAGAATTAGTGGCCGGCCACCACAGAAAGAGGGCCTCCCATGTGTGCACAACACAGCCCTGTGGTCAAAAACTGGAGAAAGTGAGCCAGGAGAGAGAACAACCCACTTTTTAAAGGGGTTCAAAAGGGTCAGAAATGATTAATGGTCGGCCACCAAATATTGGTGGCCTCCAAAGTGAACCAGGAGAGAGAACAACCCACTTTTCAAAGGGGTTCAAAAGGGTCAGAAAGGATTACTGGCCGGCCACCAAATATTGGTGGCCTCCCAGATGTGTACATCACAAATATGGGATTTAGGGTTCAAGAAAATGGCCCAAGGGTGTTCAATATTGGCTTTGAAGTGAAGAAAATCGGGCGACGGAGGGCGATGAAGGGATAAAGTTGGCTGACAGAACAATTACTGGCCTCCCACCCTTCTACGGCCTTCTTAGCAATGAGACAGAGGTCCCTGCCAAAAATGAACCAAAACCAATGCAGAATGAAGGTTCGGGGGCCGAAACGCGCAGCCCGAGGCCCCGAAAACCGGCTATTAGGCACCGGGAGTGGTGTTCGACCACGAAGTCGGTCTCTCGAACCGCAGTGTCCCTCAAAAGGGAGCAAATAAGAAGTATGCCAAAAATCGGGGCAAACGGAGATGGTTAAGCGGTCCCGAATCGAGGCACACGGCCAACGATTCCGAAAAACCGGGAACCGAACTCCAAACGGGCAAAAATGGCCTACGACCACGAAACGTAGCCTACGGCCACTGAGAGATGATCTACGAGACCTCTCCCTCCCTTCGCGAAGAGAAAACAGAGAAAACAGAGCCTAGTTCTCAAACCGAGGCAAAGCACAAAAGAGTCCGGAAGTCCGGAGGCAAGGCTCACGGCCAAGACTCTGAAACCTCTGGACGAGCACGATATGCAATATCACCAAGCGCTCAATCAGTAACGTATGAATCTTAAGTTTGGTCAAAAATGGGGTGTCTACACCCTCCTTCCAAGAAGAGCAGCTACCAACATGCACTAATTTGCTTCTTTTTCTCTTCGCATTCCTTTTTTCTCTAAAAAGAAAATGGGATTATTTTATTTTATTTTATTTTCCTTTTTCAATATTTCACTGTGACTCTTTCACTTCATTTTGCCAGCATTGCTTCTAGGGGATTTTAAATAAAAAGGGAAAAAAAACTAACATGCAAGGAATCACATAGGCTCACAAAAAAGCCTCTCCTCTTTGGTTCTTTCATTAACACACCACATCTGACATCCCCATCCCTCGTGTTCTCTCTCTAATTCATAGGAGAGAATGAGCCTCTCTCCATTTTTGAGTAATCCAATCATCAATAGTTTAGTTTTATTTGGGCTTCGAATACTAGATTTGCACACTTACCCCTTCTTTAGAGAACTTGGGGCTTTGAATTCATTGTCACATAAACTTTTGTTTTTATAGCTTCAGTTTTTTGACTCTCCCTTCTAAACATGATTTGGTCATCAATAGCTTCATCTACTATCAAACCACACATTTGTCATAAATAGTATATCTGCATGCCCCTTCTCCAAAAAACACAGGCCTTAGAATTCGTCATCCATCTAGTTCCTATTACATAAATTGGAATTTTTTTCTTTAAAATGTCATTGCTTCAATTTTTTTCGTTTTATTGCTATTTCATTATAAATTTAGTTGGTACCATTGTTTTTAGAAATGTCCTTGCTATTTTTATTTTGGTCTAATAAATATAGCTTGTATTATTAGTTGTAGTTTTTTTATAAACATGCTCCTGCTACCACAAAAATAAAATTCTAGCTTCGTCCCAGCCTAAGACTCATTCATTGTCAACAAAGCTACTTCCACCAAAACCACATCAAGCATTCAAGCCAACCTATGGTTATTATGTCAGAGATGCATATCCAATGTGCACATATGTTTTCAATATGCTCTTAAAAGCTTTTTTTTTCAAAGTTATTTAAGGAAAACTAAGACAATGACAGTAATATCTTACAAAGTCCTACTTAAAATATAACATGAGTAAAGAACATACTATGCGTGAACTGTTAACTGTCATTCAGCATGTAATGTAAACAAGCTTACAATTAACTTCCAAAGCCATAAACATTGAATGTCTTACTGAAAATTGAAGCATAAAAAATTTACAAGTACCAAATGGGGTCAAATTGGATTGCTTATGCCCCATCAAGGTCCAACCCAAACTTTTGGTCAGGTTAGGGGTTCCAACAAACCAAGCCACAAATGTAGAAACTTCAATACAAGAATAGATGTTGACAAAGATGGCATGGACTTGAAAGTAGAACCCATCCAAATTGTAACCACAAATTAAAAATAAAAATGATAAATATTTGTTTCAAAGAAGCCAACAAACAAAACAAATATCAGACTTTACCATATAATGAAACCTTAATTCAAACAACAAATATTAGAAAATGTGTGCACAACTTCAACCATAAAACTAAGAAAAAAATAGTGAAGATCTTGCTAATTGTGGAACTAAGTTCCAAATTACTTTCAATCTATAGGGGTATGCATGCAAAAAGGATTGGGCTTGATACCTTAACTTATCCCAATGAGGACGTTTTAGTTATTTTGTGACAAAAGACTTAATCCTGAGATAAGTTGTTCCACCTCCCACATAGGCCGGATAGAAGGGCCCTCAAATAAGTTACTTGGGTCACAAAATCTAAACCAAACATTGGATAATTTATCTCGGAATAAAATAGTCCTATCTTGTCCCCTTGTTCAGGAATCAATCGTTGACATGTATGGTGAGTCGAGCATGAAGCAATTAGAGAAATTCCTTAAGAACTGCAGTCCAATTTTTATATTCTAGTGCTATCATAGTGTCATGCAATAATTTTCTATGGTAAGAAATAAATGCAATGGCATGAAGATGACAGTAAAATGGCAGTGATCATGAAATTAAAGGGTGAGAAAGGCAATAAAACTAATAAGAACTGCAAAAGTGATTGTCATAAAAGAGGCCAAAAAAGCAACAAATACAAATAAATTGATACCTTGCTGAAAACATTCCCAACTTTGGGCCTGGGTCGATGATCCAGTCAGCTTGTGTCACATTTTCTGCTACAAGATAGCGTTTTGTAAACTCAGTCCCTTCTAACAATTCAACTGAGTCAACTTCAAATACGCATGCCCGAACATGACGAGCACGTCCTCCGGCATTGCGAGATGTGTAGATGCAAACTAGGCAATACACATTGTTCCTAAGATGAACCACAAACCCCACAGTCGACTTTGAAGCAGTGACTGTATCGGTTACATGGTTCAACCCAAATATTGGGACTGTAACCAAACTATCATCATCTGGAAGAGGATCATCATCAAATGTTTCGGCTTCTTCTTCAGTCCCTTGTTCTTCATCCTCCTTTCCTGCAGTTAAATCATACGCATACACCTTCATGATCTTTCCAGGTTGATCAAAGATAGTCTGATACAACAGATAGTCTACAACCTCAGCCTCAAAGAACCATGGGCCTACACTTAAATTATGAAGTATCATATCATCTGATCCAGCACCGGCAGCGCCACTACTGTCACCGCCATTGTGCATCTTCCATTCGTTTTCAATAACATTAAAGGAATACAAAGTAACACCATTATATGAGTGAAGTAATAACACATAAATATTAATGCCAATGACTGTGTGCCAGCGAAATTGCACGCCGGAAGACTTCTTATATAAGGAATGGAATGGAGGATTGGGCAGAGGGGTCCAAACATTGCCAAGTTCTGGATCAAGGACCTCGAACACATGGCATATTGTCTTAGTTTTTCCAGAGTCAAATATGGAATTGCCGGCAAGGGCATATATTTTTTTATTCACAGTAACAACAACCGGATTTGGCTTCTTGGCGTTCAACGGAGGACCCTTCTTCCACTGTTTCTCATTGCAATTGAAATCCCAAATATATACTTCCCTGGGGTAATTTCCAGTTTCCCAATCAATTTCACCACCAAGTACATAAATTTTAGACCCTAGTGAGGCAAAACCAACTCGCGATGTTGTACTGGTATGTTTCAGTGGGCTTAGTGGAAAAATACGAAGTTCTTCACTTGTATCAATGGCCAACACATTAATACGCTTTTGCAGCGGCAATTCAAACAACAGGCATATACATGCGCTCTGCTTAATCTTGCTTCCTTCACCGTCGCTGTTGCTGTTGCGGTTCCCTTTCCCTTTCCCTTTCCCTTTCCCGTTGCGCTTCTTCTTGCTGCTTTGATTCCAACCTTTCATTGTCACTGGCAACTCACTGAACAGGGCACAAAACAAACCCTACAATTCGAATATAAATTGTTGGAACAAAATCAAAATCTTAAATTAACATAATAAGATGCACGAAATTAACAAACAATCTCACTTGTGAAATCAATGACTTGATTTTCTTGATTTAAGACTCACCATGAACATTGCACTAGAAATTCTAAATAATTTCACAAATAAGCCAATTGATATCAGGATTAAATTAAAAAACAATTGATTGATCGGTCTGAGCATCTATCACAATTTGTTAATTATGATGTAGCAACAACTTATTTTTATAATGTTTCTTTTGATTGGACACAGGGTGTAGCACTCATGTATGAAAAAACAAATAAATAAAATGGCGAATGAGATGAAAACTTGTTGAATGGAATCCAAAAATAAGGATTACACTTAAAAAATAAATAAATAAATAAAAACCTCAAACATTGTGAAGAGCTACGTGTAGAGGAGAGGAAGAAACCTTTAACCTTTATGAAGAGCGTCGGAGTTCCGCCGCGGGGGAGGCAGCCACTATGTTAGCGATATTTCTAGGTTTTCCCCATGGTGTTAACGACAGAGAAGAGAACATACAATACCGGTGTAGAGGAGGGCGTTCCTTGAGGACAAACACAAGGGCATTCCTTTTTCAAGGTGAAAACTGTAGGACAAAGGAGTGGAAGAGAGCGCCCCTTGCTTGAGGACAAAAATTAGGCTAGGTTTGATTTGGTTGTGTGCCTTGCATAGCAAGTACTTATACCTTTTTATTTTTTTTTTGTTATATAAAATTTTATTAAAATTTATATATTATATGATATATGTATAAATATTGTCACAAAAATATGTAAATTTTTATATAAAAAAAACGTAAGTTTTCATAAAAATAGTAAGTGATTTTACAAAAAGAGTACCTGATTTCACAAAAAGACGTAAGTCAATACAAAAAAGGCTTAAATTTTCACAAAAAAAGTAAATGATTTTACAAAAAAACGTAAGATTTCACAAATACGTAAGATTTCACATAAAAAGTCAGTGCTTTCACAAAAAGGCGTAAATTTGATAAAAAACATAAGTGATTTCACAAAAAGGCTTAAGTTTCACAAAAAGAGTAAGTAATTTTACGAAAGATGTAAGTTTTTACAAAAAGAATAAATGATTTCACAAAAAGGCATACAGTGTGTTTGTATAGACGTGCCCGAACGTCCCGACTCCGCGCGCAAAGGCGCGAAATCCAATTTGTTCATTAGCTACTACAGTTCGGACTTAATGTCACGGTTCTGAATCTAATCTCGCAAAGTGCAATGTAAGACCGATAAATCACCAAAGAGTCCAAATCCGACAAATCGTTTTGGAAAACTGATTTTTATAAAGAAGTGTCAAATATAGACTGTTTTGCCAGATACAGAGTCGCCACTTAAATATTTTATTTTGGGAGAAATTTAGGAAACCCTAACTCGTGCCTAAGGCCACGTGTCCGTCATCACCAAAGTTGTCTCGGTTAGGGAACTTGGGTACGAGAGGGGAAGGTCCTGAAATGAGCACCCCCGCTCACCCGATCAAAGATCAGCCTCTACTAACATGATATGTTGTTTTTGAAAACACATGTGTTCTTATTCCGTTTATTAACCTAGAATTACTATGTGATACGCACAGCATACAAGTATAGATTAGATCGCCTAAGTTGGAACAAAACATCTCATGTTTGTTTGAAAATAGTTTGAAGGTGCTACTCGCAAGTAGGCTAAGACATGGATTTGTCACCCTCAAGTGGGCTTAAAACTCGCATTTTGATGAATTGTTCCAATTCAAGTAATCCAACCTTCATCCATAGACATTCATGCGGTTAATCACTTAAGCAAATAGCCTCATGGCAAACATGCTATCATGGCAGTCACTTACATACATGCAAGATGCTAAAGCATAAAAGCTTACCTAGTGCTCTGAGCCAAAACAATAGCTAGTTAGTAATCAATGCATGATCCTAGCTATGTTAACAATGTCTAATGCAACACATGCAAAAAAGCAACTAAGATAGGCTCGGCTATTTTAAGATGGCATATGGATGCAACACTCGATACATGTATTCAAATAGAAATTAAATATAATGCAGTTAGTATGATGCGCCGAGCCCGGTGCATGCAAGACAGATGAATGGTGTACGCATGCGAAGCATAAGGATGCTAATTGAAATATGCCCTAGAACTAACCATCATAAACGGTTAAGTAAAAGGAAGAAAGACGTGGGTTTGGAAGACATTCACACGCTCACGCACACTTATTACAACAGTTAGCCCTCTCGACGGAGGGTCCGAATGAATAATACAAATCAACTAATTAACTAACTAACTTAGCTAATTAAATATTACAAAACCCTTAACTAATTAAACAAATTAATTAATTTACAAAGCCATCTAAGCAAGAAACTGAAGTAGGCTGCTACAACCCTGCCTCAGAATGATGAATGATGCGTGTTCGGTCGCGTCGCTCGAAAATCTGTTGCCATGCCTCATGTTGCCTCTGTTTGCACTGTTTTGCACCTCTGAAAACTGTGAAACTCTCTGTGATGCTTCTGAACCACCTCATGGAGACTCTGAGAGGCCATCGGCCAAAAGATATGGCCACCGGCCAAGGGAAATGGGCCATCGACCACTTTTTAGTCTATCGGCCAAAAATTGTTAGCCGATCGGCACTCCAGATGGTCGATCGGCCATCTTTTCCTGCAAACTGCTCCTTTTGCTGCAGCAAAGGACAAACAAGGGCATGGCAATATATTTGCAAGATAATGTTGTGCAATTACACCCCTTATCATGTTTGGAACTCAAAGGAATGTGGTGTTCGACTCTCGAGCCATCAATCACGCATTTTGATGCATGATGGCCAAAGAGACCGAATTGCACACATCAATATGGAATGAATGCACAAAAACACACAAATGCCTTACACTCTATCATGTTGGATCAAGAGTGTCGGCGACCAAGGATTGAGGCACGTTTCATCACTTCAAGTACGAAACATCCCTCGGTCCTCGTGTTTGGTTTGACACCCCAAACCAAACACAATGCAATGCATGCAACATGGAAATGCTATGCAATGCAACATAAGTATGCCAAATGCAATATGACTCAAACATGCACATAAGGCTAAGGTAACAAGCATGCCAAATGCAATGCAATGCAACCTAAACAAACATGTGACAAAATGCGAACTAGCAAGCATGCAAAATGCAACCTAAACATACAAACATGCATGGCATGCAAAGATGGACAAGCATGAAACAATATGCAATGTGACAAGCATGCCACAACATGCAAAGATGGACTTAACCCAAAATGGCAGACATCAGCCATGCCCAAATCAGTGGCCAAAAGTGCTGAAATGATAGTATGAAAAGCATGAAAAAGCAAGACAAGCATGCATGCCAATTGGCTCAAGGACTAAGGCATAAATATGCAACTCTTAAGCACACTTAAAGAGTGAAAATCATGCAAATATGGCAACACTACATGCTCTGAAATGATGTCAAGAATGATGCCAAATCACACACATAATCACAAGTATAACATGCAAGAGGCTCAAAGCTCAAGGCCAACCAAGGAGCTTGTACCAAGGCCATACAAATCAAGCCCCGAATTGCCAAGGGTAACCAAAACAATCCTAAAGCATGCCAAAGTGAGTCTAAAACATGCGAGGAATAAGGCCAAAACATGCTAGAAAGGTGAGCACAAAACATGACGCATACAAGGCTAAAAATGATGATTGCACTACACCTATTAAAACCAAACATTGCATGACTTAACCAATAAAAATCAGAGTTATGGCATGTCAAGATAAGCCCAAAAACCCACTGAGATGGTATCCCAAAAGCCTAAGTATGATAGCATGCACAATGACTCATTCTTGAGGCATAAAACACCAACCTCTCAGTACATGGAAAAGGTGACAAATGCGAATGCATGACCACACTATATGGACTGGAATCTCAAATGAAATGATGCCAAATCATGAAAATGGTCTAAGCAATGCATGCTAATGACTTGGACACTCAAAGCCAACAAGCTAGATTGAACCAAGGCTATACAAAACAATGCATCCATGACCAAGACAATACAAATCAGAGCTGGAGCATGGTAAAACATGACTAAAAGCTTCTTTGAGTTGAGCCAAAACAAGCAAGAATGATGACCCAAATGTAAGGTGCATGTTAAGGCAATAGATAGGATTACACTACAAGTTTATGATGCATGTAAGAGGCTATCAAACCAACTTAAAACAGAGTTATAGAATGTAAAAATAACACCAAATACTTGCTGAAATGAAGCCAAAACATGCCAAGCAAACATGCTACCAATATGAGCCATTTATACTAGCAAATGAGACACAAGGTGAGGGGGGTGTCCCTCTCCTATTCAAGACTCCAAAACCACCTCTCCACCACTGAAAATCCTTTGGATTTCAGTGGTGAGAAGGTCAAAACAAGATGGTTCCAAAGCTCAAAAGGGAAGGCACAAAACAAGGCCAAACAAGACCTAAGAGGGGGTAGACTACCCCTAACTCAAAAGTGACCTGAAACAAATATCACAAGTATACAAAATCAGAGCTTTTTTTAGTTTAGAGTTAAGCTTAAAACAATATGCAAGTAGGTCTAAAAGCTTAAGCCAAAATGGGGGATTAAAAAGTAGTTTACTCACCCTTGAAGAACACCTTCAAGAACACAACTCCAGCAACCTTTCTGAGCTTAAACCACTCTAAGAACTCTAAAACCAACTCCTAAAGACCTCAGCAACCAAAGGATGGTGTTCTAGTAGGTGTTTGTGTGCAATAGTGTGAAGATATTACACTTTTGGGCACAAACAAAAGCTAAACAAGAGAGAGAGGTAAAATATATATATAGAGAGAGAGATATAGAACTTGTATCTCAAGATTTCAGAACCCCTGGGAAGGGAGAGGAGGCTCCCTTCTTATAGAATTTCAATTCTCAAGCTTGTTCAACAAGCTTGAGTCTTGAATACAATCCCTCCATACACGTGTATGGAGGATGAGAATTGTGCTCACCAGCTGTCACAGTTGGCAGAAAATATCTGCAAAAAGCAGATGGAAAGGTCTCGGCTCAAAAATATGGTCGATCGACCAAAAAGAGTACCGATCTACCAAAAGGAGTGCCGATCGGCCAATACTTTTGGCCGATGGCAAGAAAACATGGCCGATGGCATCATGCCTTGGCCAATGGGTTGAGGGGATGGCCAACAAGCCACCATCTTCCCTCAGAAGCAAAAACAGAAGTCCTTGGTCCACAACCAAGCACAAAACAGACAAGTTGAGAGATCCTGAGGCAAGGCGCGCAGCCGAGACTTCTGGGAACTCAAAACGAACACAAGCATGGATGATCACTGAGCGTTCAAACGATGACGTCCAAGTCTTGAGGACGGTCAAAAATGGCGTGTCTACAATTGCCCCTCTTTGACAGAACTCAGAAGTCAAGAAGTGATGGGAGTGAATGTCAAAGCCCAGAGACGACCCATTTTTGACAAGGCTGAAGACTTAGACAAACAAGCAAGATAACAAAGAGATGTGCCCGCAGGCTGGGGCAAGATGCAAATGACATGCACAATGCCGAACATAACTTATGATCATACCAAGAGAGTTGTAATAGAGCAATTATGAAAAATAAATGCAACATTTTAAGCGAATGCTATACAAGC